AGCGCCGGGCAAACCACTCGCGCAGCTCCTATGGAGAGAGTGGCTCCCGCCGAGACGCAGCACCCGAAGAACCTCCAGGCACAGTACCGCCAGACGCGACACGAGCAGGCACAGCTCCCGCAGGCTCTGCACCCCCAGGCTCCGCACCCCCAGGCTCAGCACTCCCAGTCGTAGCACCCCCAGACTCAGCAACCCCAGACGTAGCACCCCCAGGCTCATCACCCCCAGACGTAGCACCCCCAGGCTCAGCACCCCCAGGCGTAGCACCCCCAGGCGTAGCACCCCCAGGCTCAGCAGGAGTGAAGTGGTGAACCCCCGCATCCTGCAGGTCTGCACCACTCACCAAGTTCGTAGAGAACGAAGGGAGGTAAAGACCAGACAGGGTGCTAGAGGTGGCCGGCGGACACGGGAGGACAGTGGAGAAGTGAGCAAGGACAGGATCCCCAGAGGGGTCTGCCAGAGAGACTGCAACCAGCCGACCAAGCGGCGTGAGTGTGGTGCGGTCTCGAAAGAAGGAGCGGGAAGCCCCCGAGTCAAGAGTGAAGGTGTGAGAGGCCGGAGCCGACGCGGTACCTGAGAGAGCAGACTCACCCGCACATGAGGAAGCAGACTCACTAGCACCTAGAGCAGTAGCCGCACCTGTACCTGGAGCAGGAGACTCACTAGCACCCAGAGCAGCAGCCTCACCAGCAGCTAGAGCAGAAGGCTCTATACCCGGGTCAGGCGGTACGCACAGGTGACCGGCACGGTCAGCACTAGTAGGCAAAGCATACATGGCAGTAAGAATAGCATCATAGTCAAGAGCAAATATATCTACCCTCTGCCTAAGCAACTCCACCCAGTCGGGGAGCTCAGCCTCGTCGCCAAACTCGGTACGTCAGGCGTTGCTCAGACGGGCAAAGCAGCGCGACTGTGTGTGACTAGGCGTCCCACAAGGCTGACCAGTCCGAGCACCGTGCGAATCACGTAAGAGCAGCGAACAGGACTGAGAGACCCTCTACTCTGAGCGTACCACTCACGAAGCTGCTGGGGCGTGAGAGACGCGCGTGGGCGTCGCTGGAGCTGCATCTGGCCGCCGCCAGTAGTAGGAACAGCAGTAGTGGTAGCAGTAGCAGCGCCGCCACCCCTACAACCCCAACCAATGTACCACTCACGCAGCTGCTGGGGCGTGAGAGACTCACGCTGACGTCGCTGGGGCTGCATCTGGCTCCGCCAGTAGAAGCAGGAGAAGGAGTAGCAGCAGTAAGGCAGGCAGGCAAGCAGGCGGCGGGCAGCGCGCTAGCAAGGCAGGGGCTCACCAGTGGTGGGAAGAGCAGGCTCGGCGACTCGGCGACCCGGCGACTCGGCGGTTCGGGCGGCTCGGGCGGCTCAGCGGCACAGCGGCTCAGCAGCAACTGCTGCTCGGCGGCTCGGGCGACTCGGGCGACTCGGGCGACTCGGGCGGCTCAGCGGCAACTGCGGCTCGGCGATCCGGCGGCTCGGGCGGCTTGGCGGTACGGCGGCTCAGCAGCAACTGCAGCTCGGCGGCTCGACGACCCGGCGGCTTGGGCGGCTCAGGTGGCGCTGCGGCTCGGGCGGCTCGGGTGGCTCGGGCGGCTCGGCAGCAGCTTGGTGGCGCTGGCGGCTCGGTGACGACGGCGGGGCCGCTTGGGGACGGCGGTGGAGCCGGGTGGAGCGGCGACAGGGCCAGCAGAGGCGGTGCCGGGGCCGCAGGGTAGGCGACGGGGCCAGCAGAGGCGGCGCCAGGGCCGGGAAGGGCGGTGCCGGGGCTGCAGAGGTAGGCGACGGGGCCAGCAGAGGCGGCGCCGGGGCCGGGAAGGGCGGCGCCGGGGCCGCAGAGGTAGGCGACGGGGCCAGCAGAGGCGAGGCCGGGTCGGGAAGGGCGGCGTCGGGGTCGCCAGGGTAGTCGACGGGGCCAGCCGAGGTGGCGCCGGGGCCGGGAAGGGCAGAGCCGGGGCCGGGAAGGGCGGCGCCGGGGCCGCAGGGGTAGGCGACGGGGCCAGCAGAGGCTGCGGATCGGGGCCGCGAGGGCGGCGCGACGCGGCCGCTAGGGCGGCGCGACGGGGTAGCGGGGCGTGGCGCGCCTGGAGGGAACGGGGCCACGAGCCTTGAGGCGCGCGCCAGAGAGAAAATCGCCGCGCGCGGCGAGATGAAAAATAAAAATAAAAAAAAAAATAAAGTCGCACGCCACGGGGCGTGCGACAGATCGAGTAGCAGCGGAAGCAGTAGTAGGTGAGAAAAGTAGAACGAGAAGGAAATGACTATGAACGAAGTGAGTACAAATAGGAAACCCTAGTTGGGTTGTACCCCCTATGGGATACCCCACTATAGCCTACACAAATAAGTAAGCTATAATATTCTGACACACCCCCATAGGCAAAGTGGGGGAGAACAAGGGGTCACAAGACCAGTCAAGCAAAGCGAAGCAAAGCTCAGGGTGGATCACAAAGTCACCACACATTCCGAGCACAAGGTCAAGGGCCACAAGGCCAGTTCACATGCAAGATCATATATAGAGATATACAAGAGTCAAGCAAGGAAGAACAAGAGTATATATAGGTCAAGGTACAAGCAAGGTCAAGAAGTGAGCAAGTGAGGCAAGACAGGCACAAGACCCAGCTGCGTGCAGCAACGCTGATGATCACAAGGCGCAAGTGCCTTGGTGAAGACATCAGCAGTGTTGGCCTCAGAGGCCACGTACGCAAGTCGCAACTGTCCACGCTGCTGTAGCTCACGAGCAAGAAAGTAGCGGAGAGCAATGTGCTTTGTCCTGTGCTCCAGTCGCTGCTCTCGACACAAGGCCAGCATGGCCTTGTTGTCTACGTACAGGACTGGAGGAGAACGAGGCGGCTCTCCAAGGTCGGTCAGCAGGTAGGTGAGCCAGCGAAGCTCCTGAGCAGCCATAGCCCCGGCGTAGATCTCAGCCTCACAACTGGAGCCGAGAACAGAAGACGAGTGGGTAGCCCGCCACGAAACAGAGCCGGAACCAAGGCCGAAGGTGGGTAAAGAGGTCAGCGGCTGTAGGAAAGGCAGCAAGGTCAAGGAAGAGGTAAGGTAGCATGAGGCGGCTCAGTGTAGCAGTGGAAGGGGAGGAGTAGCGCGCAACTACAGCGTCGTACAAGGCCTGAGCACTCTTGCACTGACTAAAGTGCGCACGCTCAGAGGAAGGGAGGTGGCGACGCACAGCAAGACGTGCAGCAGCATCGCGTGTGGCCCACTTGGAGCGAACAGTGGGGTCAGCATCAGCAGGAGGGGCAGGGACAGCGCCAGAGGCAAAGTCGAAGAGAGAGATGTCATCTACTGAATCGCACTGCAAGTACAGCTGCAGGTCCTCGACCCAGACCGCAAAGTCAATGGCGCGACCCTCAGCGTCAAAGGCCAGGACACTAGGGGTGGCCATGATAGCAGCCGACAGTCTCACCAGAGAGGAAGGGTCGAGCACCTCAGTAGGACAGCAGCACGGCAGCTCAGCAACTCCGCCGGCCCAGGAGTAGCAGCAGCCCCACAGGACCCGGCTCCCGGCACCGTAGGCGGCTCGGGCGGCTCGGGCGGCTCGGGCGGCTCGGGCGGCTCGGGCGGTCGGGCGGCTCGTGCGGCTCGGGTGACGCGGGGGCTCACGGGCGGTGCGGGCGTCGTGGCGGGCGGTTCACGGGCGGCTGCACGGGCGGCTCACGGGCGGCTGCACGGGCGGCCGGGGCGGCTCACGGGCGGCACGGTGAGCGGCTGCACGGGCGGCTGCACGGGCGGCTGCACGTGCGGTTGCACGGGCGGTTGCACGGGCGGCGCACGGGCGGCTGCACGGGTGGCGCGTCGGGCTACAGCACGGGCGGCGGAGCCGCAGTAAGAGAGGCGGCGGGGCCGCAATGGGGGCCGTAGCGGGGCTGCAGCGGGGCCTAAGCGGGGCCGAAGCGGGGCCGTAGCGGGGCCGACGAGGGGCTGTAGCGGGGCCGTAGCGGGGTCGGCGGGGCCTAGGCGGGGCCGACGGGGCCGAAGGGGCCGTAGCGAGGCCGTAGCGGGGCCGTAGTGGGGGCCTAGGCGGGGCCGACGGGGCCGAAGCGGGGCCGTAGCGGGGCGTAGGTGGGGCCGATGGGGCCGTAGTGGGGCCTAGGCGGGGCCGACGGGGCCTAATCGGGGCCGTAGCGGGGCCTGGGCGGGGCCGACGGGGCCGTAGTGGGACCTAGGCGGGGCCGACGGGGCCTAAGCGGGGCCGTAGTGGGGCCTAGGCGGGGCCGATGGGGCCTAAGCGGGGCCGTAGCGGGGCCTAGGCGGGGCCAACGGGACCGTAGCGAGGCCGTAGCGGGGCCGTAGCGGGGCCTAAGCGGGGCCGACGGGGCCTAAGAGGGGCCGTAGCGAGGCCTAAGCGGGGCCGACGGGGCCGTAGCGAAGCCGACGCGGGGCCGTAGCGGGGCCTAAGCGGGGCCGACGGGGCCTAAGCGGGGCCGTAATGGGGCCGACGGGGCAAAGCGGGGCCGTAGCGGGTGGCTCGAGGGGCAGTAAGGGCGGCCAATAGGGGCCACTAAGGCGACTCGAGGCACTACTACGGGCAGGAGAAAAAAAAATCGTGGTGGGCCCTAAGAACAGTTCCCACAGGGGAACCTGCTCGATACCATGAGAAAAGTAGAACGAGAATGAAATGACTATGAACGAAGTGAGTACAAATAGGAAACCCTAGTTGGGTTGTACCCCCTATGGGATACCCCACTATAGCCTACACAAATAAGTAAGCTATAATATTCTGACAGTAGGGCCCACAGGCCAGGAGCATATGTGCTCTGATATCATGTGAGAATGAACGAGAGTGAATGAACTATGAATGAAGTGGGTACAAGTACTAACCCTAATTGGGTTGTACCCCCTATGGGATACCCCACTACAGCCTACACAATATGTATACGCTACAATGTTCTGACAGTTCCTTCTCCAGCGACGTGGCTCCCAAGGCTCGCAAAGGCGACGCCGCCGCGGCTGCGAACGGCGGCGGCGATGCGGGCGACGATCTGATGGCGTGGGTGGCGAAGAGTCGCAAGCTGTACGAGAATCTGCGCGCGGAGAAGGAGAAGGCGGAGCGCATGGCGCGCATGCTCGCCGACCAGGTGCGACTCGCGGACCTCCGCCGCCACCAAACCTTGCCTATTTTGCCTCACCTCGTGACGAGCATCTGTCGCGTTACGAAAGCGTGTCCTCGTGACGCTTGTCTGTTGCCATGGATTGCCGTGGCGTGGTGAGAGAGTGAACTAATGTCTCTCATTTGTCTGCTGCTTGCTGCTTAGCTCGATTTTGCCGCCCGCAAATTGTCGCCTTTTACTGATGCACTTTATATGAATAAAACATGTCGTTTTTGTATTCCTTTTGGGTGTGCGACGTGTTTCCTTGGCAAAGGCAATGAAGATTTTATTCCCCGCAGTGTCGTGGGATTGTCGGTTGTGATCTTACCGCAGGACGACACGGGCGCGGAGGACAAGGAGGACGACGAGGAGCGAGGAGGGCGGCAGCGGTCATCGCGACCCGAGTACACCTCTCGTGAGCGCCCACTCCGGCCCCCCACCCGGACCACCTCTTTCCCCCACACCCTCTCTACACCGCTCCCCGTCACTTCTCGCAAGCCGATCCGCACAGACCCACCATGCGTGTTTCCTCCTGCTGCCTCTCCCTCACCCCCCGCCCACGTGATACTTTTCCCTCAACTGCCTTTCCGTCCCCAAACCCTCGCTCTCCTTCCCATCGCCAACTACCTCACTCCTTCCCCCACCCAACCCCTCTCGTCCACTTCCCCCCTTCTCTCTCCATTGCTGCGTCCCGCCGTACGCCCTTCCGCTGCCCTGTCCCTCTGTGCGAGCTTCAGGCGACCTGGCGGGGATGAGGGTGCGGCACGGGGTGGGCGCGGTGCTGCAGAAGGGCGCGGCCGCGGTGCTCACGCTTAGGAGACGACGTCAATGAAGGTGCCCATACCTGTCTGCCTGCCTGCGTGCGTGCTCTCGTGCGTGCCTGAGAGAGTACAGCGGTGGGCAGTGTTTGCTTGGAGGAGAGCGTCCGAGTGTTGCTGCTCCCTGCCTGTCCACGTCGCCTCGTATTGTCAGGTTCCCCTCCTCATGCTCGCACCCACTCTTTGTGCATCACTACTCCTCCCCTTTTCCCTTCCTCAGTGCCCTCTCTTTTCCTTCTCCCTCCCTCCTCCCCTCCCGCGCTTCTCCTGTTTTATCCTCCAACCAACCCCACCCCCATCTCCTCCCACTTGGCATGTGGGAGCACTGTGACTATGGTGGGGTGGGGGTGGGCGGGTGGGTGGCAGAGGAGGACGAGCTGGAGAATGTGGAGGCGGCAGAGCAGAGACGGCGACTTTGAGGCGCCTCTAAAGCCCTCCCGTTTGACCCTCCTCATCCCCCCACCCCCTTCTCCCCCCATTGCACTGCACATGTTGTGGGTGGTATGGGCGCGCAGAGGAGGACAAGCTGGAGAACGTGGAGGCGGCGGAGCAGAGCCGGTGAGACAAGGCGTACCGCGCCGCCAAGAAGACCACCAGCATTGCCGACAAGTGAGATGAGGGGGGCATTGTTATGTTATCCACCAGTCGGTCGGTTGGGGCATATTGCTGATCGGTATGGAAGCGTTGCATGGAGTCAGATGCATGTTCGAGAGGTAGCCAACGAGACAAGTCGGATGCATGTCCGAGAGGTAGCCAACGAGACAAGTCGGATGCATGTCCGAGAGGTAGCCAACGAGACAAGTCGGATGCATGTCCGAGAGGTAGCCAACGAGACAAGTCGGATGCATGTCCGAGAGGTAGCCAACGAGACAAGTCGGATGCATGTCCGAGAGGTAGCCAACGAGACAAGTCGGATGCATGTCCGAGAGGTAGCCAACGAGACAAGTCGGATGCATGTTCGAGAGGCCTGACTCTATCATCTGCTACCTACCTCCCCCATTCACTGCCTCTTGTCCTCCCTCCCTATAGCACGCTCTCCCTGCTGTTTCCACGTGGCGCAGGTTCGCGGAGGTCGAGGGCGAGAAGAAGCCCATGCTGCCATAGTTTGATGACGGGCAAGAGGACGAGGTGAGGGGCAAGAGGAGTGATCAGCAAGAGGGGTGATTAGCAAGAGGGGTGAGCAGCAAGAGGGGTGAGCAGCAAGAGGGGTGAGCAATGGGGATGTTATGGCAGTGAGGAGTTGGAAGGGCATGGGAGAAGATGTAACTCCTCCGATACTGGTGGGTGGTGGGGATTTGGGGGGTTTGTGAGGGAAGGAATAGGGGAAGGATGTTTTGCCTGCTTGGAGATGGCCGGCCAGGGGGCACTGCTCATCTCGTACTCTCCCTTCAAGACCGCCTCACATATACCCTCTTCTGACACTGGGGGGGGTTGGGGGAGGGGGGGGAGAGCAGGGTGAGACAGGAAAAGGGGGAAGAAAGAGGAGGCGGGACGAGAGAGGAAGGGAGAGAAGGCAATGTGTTTGACGTTTGATGTGCAGTAGAGCGCCTTCAGAGATGGCACAAATGCCTTCACGTTAGTGTTAAGCTACCACTGCTGTCTCAAGACTGCCTCGCAAATGCCCTCCTCTAATACTAATGGCGGGTGATTGAAAGGGAAGGGCGTGGGAGCGGAGGCAAGGAGATGGACCAGGGAGGGGCATTGCGGAGCGGGGGTCGTGCAAGTGAGACTGCGGTACAGTGCAGTGCAGCGCCTTCCAGTGTCAAAGCGCTTGATGTGTTTATTGAAGCGCTTGATGTGTTTATTGAAGCGCTTGATGTGTTTAGTGAAGCGCTTGATATGTTTAGTGAAGCGCTTGATGTGTTTAGTGAAGCGCTTTATGTGTTATTGAAGCGCTTGATGTGTTATTGAAGTACCTTGTGGTGGAAAAGCGTTGTAACCACAGAGTTGAAAGGGCATGGAATTGTATGGTACGGTATGGTATGGTACGGTATGGTATGGTATGGTATGGTATGGTATGGTATGGTATGGTATGGTATGGTATGGTATGGTATGGTATGGTATGGTATGGTATGGTATTGTATTGTATGGTATGGTATGGTATGGTATGGTATGGTATGGTATGGTATGGTATGGTATGGTATGGTATGGTATGGTATGGTATGGTATGGCATGGCATGGGCATGTGTGGTATGGCATGGTATGGGATGAATGGTATGGCATGGCATGGCATGACATGGTATGGCATGGCATGGTATGGCATGGCATGGCGTGGTACGGTATGGTACATGGGGAGTGAGTGAACTCATAACCCCCCCAGGGCAGCAATCTGATAGCCCTCGTGCCTCAGTACAGTCATTAGGCTCATCTCAATGAGTCCCTCTCAACCGTACACTATATCACTGAATTTCACCACACTACACCACCTCATTCTTCCAATCCACCATCCCAGAAGGGCGGGGTGCTGCACAGCAGCACGTAGGTGATGACACCAACACTCCACGTGCCACACATCATCACACCGCACTGAGTACTACACCACATACCTCCATATCTCCGCATTCCACCACACTACACCACCCCATTCTTCCAAACCACCATCCCAAAAGGGCAGGGTGCCACACTGCAGCATGTATGTGATCACTCCAACGCTCTACACATCACACTCGCTCGCTGCTCGGACTGCCTGCCATACACCACACCAAACCGTGCACTACACCACATCACCGCATTCCACCGAATCACACCCTGTGGTACACCATATCACCACATGCCACCATACCACACCCCAACACACCACCCCAGAAGGGCGGGGTGCCACACAGCAGCATGGATGTGATCACTCCAGCGCTCCAGACGCCCACACCACACCTTACCATGTGCCACAGTCTACACCACATCACTACACCCCACCACTTTACCATCCAAGAAGGTCGGAGCAGCACATAGCAGCATGTAGGGAATCATCCCAACGCTCCATGACTACCGTGTCAGACACCACACCACACTGTGCACTACACCTCATCACCGCATTCCAACCTACCACACCCCAGCGTACCATCCCAGAAAGGCGGGGTTCCGCATAGCAGCATGTAGGTGATGACTCCAATGCTCCACACGTCACACTCGCTGCCGTAGTCTCTTCTCAGCACCTCTGGTGCCACATAGTACGCACTGCCCACCACCTCCTTGAAGCGCTGGCCTGAGGAGAGAGAGACATGGAGTGAGGAATGAGATTGGAAGGAGGGGAGGGAGGGGGTTATCACTCCAATGCTCTACTTTGTTGCACTCGCTGCCACACTCTCTTCGCAACACCTTTGGTGCCACATAGTACGCACTGCCCACCACCTCCTTGAAGCGCTGGCCTGAGGAGAGAGAGACATGGAATAAGGAATGAGATTGGAAGGAGGGGAGGGAGGGGGTCATCACTCCAATGCTCTACTTTGTTGCACTCGCTGCCACAGTCTCTTCGCAACACCTCTGGTGCCACATAATACGCACTGCCCACCACCTGCTTGAATCGCTGGCCTGGGGAATGAGGGGCAGGGAACGAGGGTAAGGGAAGCAATGGGCAAGAGGCTAAGGGAGAGAGGGTCGGATTAGAGGAGGAGGCAGGGCACGCAACAGCAGGAAGTTTTCGAGCTTGAGATCCCGATGCACCACACACACTGCCTCCCCTGGATACCAAACTGCACTGCACCACACTGCACTGCACTGTCACTCACCCGGCTCAAAGAAAGTCGACAACCCAAAGTCAATGGCGATGAGGGGGGCATCGTCACCGGGATGCAGCATCAGGAAGTTCTTGAGCTTGAGATCCTGATGGATAACGCCCCGCCCTGCCCCTCGCAACACATGTTGACGACCGATGCATACACACCTGGCTCAAAGAATGTTGAAAGCCCAAAATCAATGGCCATGAGGGGGGCGTCCTCCCCCGGGTGCAGCAGCAGGAAGTTCTCGAGCTTGAGGTTTCGATGGATAACAACGTCCTACCGTTTACAAGGCATATTGAGGACCAACACGTACATACCTGGTTGAAAGAAAGTGGAGAGGCCAAAGTCAATGGCCATGAGGGGGGCATCGTCGCCCTGGTGCAGCAGTAGGAAGTTCTCAAGCTTGAGATCCCGATGCACCACTCCCCGCTCATGCATGTACTGCACTGCCTGCACTATCTGCCGCACCATGCTGGCCGCCCACTGCTCACTATAGCTGCCCTCCGCCTTGACCCCGTCGTACAGCATGCCGCCTTGAGAGAGGGAGGAAGAGGAGGGTTATTGGGGGAGGGCAGGAGTGAGTGAGTAGGAAGAGGTTGTTTGAATCAAATGCAAATCGCTGCCCTCTGCCTTGACCCCTTTCCGTTGTCTATCATACCACCCGGGCGGGCGATATGATGGGGGGGTAGAAGGGAGAGGAAGGGAGGAGTTGCTCTCAAGAGGGAAGAGACAGGAGTGTAGGGGAGAGGGACTCAGGTGGCAAGGTGAAGCATTGGCAAGGTGCATTGGCAAGGAGCATTGGCAACAGAATTCTACCCCCCTGTAATTCTACCCCTTTACCCCCTGCCCATCCCACTGTATGGCTTGCTTGTCGCCTGCAGTTGGGCTAGACAGGGGAGAGGTAGGAAGAATGGATATTGCTTCAAACCCACCTTCCTTCCCCTTCCTCTCCCCCTTCGCGCTCTCTCCCCTCCTCCTTTGCTCTGCCTCCCCTACTCGTTCTCTTCTCCACCCTTCTCATTCCCTCATTCTAATGGCTCCTCCTCATTCCCTTATTCTACCAACAAGCCTTTTGGGTGTGGGGATGGCGGGGAGTGGAGTTGGGTGGGGTGGGGTGAAACCGGGGGTCTGGGGAGGGGGAAGGAGAGGGGGACGGGGAGGAGGAGATGGAGGAAAGACACTCTATGAGGGATGATCCCCTGAACTAGACTTGCTTTTCCTCTGCGTAACACCACCCACCACCATCATAGCACATGTGATACCCCACATGTCCTCTCACCCACCCACTCTACCTGTACCGCGCACCCACCCCACCACACCACACCCCACCACACCACACCCCACCACACCACACCACACCACACCACGCCTTCACCACACCTCTACAAAACTGCAAAATGAAGTGCACACATGTGGCGTCCTCGTATTGGTCGATCAGCGTCGCAATGCCCGCCTGGCCGGTGGACAGGTGGGCGAGAATGGCTGCCTCCCGTGCCACGTTGGCACATGACGTGGGTGACAGGTGGCGCTGGCTGGGGTTGGGCAGGTGGGAAACGGTGGAATGCGGTGAAAAATGACTGCCTCCTGTGCCACGTTGGCACATGACGTGTCGGACAGGTGGCGCTGGTGGGAGATGGGCAGGTGGGGAGCGATGGGATGGGGTAGAGAGAGGTGGTTGAGGGTGGTGGGCTTTCATGCCAAGCTGGCACAAACGTGGGGCAGCGGTGGTGCTGATTGGGCCCAAAATGGTGGGGAGCGGTGGGGGTGGAAAGGTGTGGGCAGGACGGGCGGACTCACCTTGGCGATGGTCTTGCAGGCAAAGTGTTGCTGTGACTTGCAGTGCCGTGCCATGTATGTGATGCCATACAGCCCCCGCCCCAGCTCCTTGCCTGTATGGGATAGTGGTGGGGTTGGGTGGAGTGCGGTGGATGCATGCACACATGCACAAGAAGTGAGATGCCTAGTGGTACCTTGCAATGTATGTGATGCCATACAGGCCCCGCCCCAACTCCTTGCCTGTTTGGGATTGAGGTTGAGTGGGGTGGAGTGCGGTGGACGCATGCACACATGCACAAGAATTGAAATGCCAAGCCCTGCCTTATAATGTATGTGATGCCATACAGCCCGCACCTCAGCTGCTTGCCTGCAGATGGAGCGAGGTGGGGTGGGTTGGAGTGCGGTGGAGTGGATGTATGTACAGTACAGTACACATGGGTGGGCCTTGAGTTGCAGTGGATGCCTGGCTGTGTTTTGCAATGTACGTGATTCCATACAGGCCCGCCACAGCTCCCTGCCTTAAGGGTGGAAGGGGTTGGGTGGAGTGCGGTTGATGCGCACGCACATGCAAACATCCACGTATGCACATGCACGCACGCACGCACGCATGCACACATGGACACATGCACGAATATTATCAAATGCACACATGCACCCAGCAAATGCAAACATGCATGCAGCAAATGCACACATGCACGCAGCAAATGCACACATTCGTCAAAGGGAGTGGCGACATGTGATGTGATGTGATGCGATGTGACATGATGTGCTGTGCTGTGATGTGATGTGATGTGATGTGATGTGATGTGATGTGATGTGATGTGATGTGATGTGTTGTGATGGGATGCGATGCGATGTGATGTGATGTGATGTGATGTGATCTGATGTGACGTGACGTGATGCGACGTGATGTGATGCGATGCAATGCGATGCGATGCGATGTGATGTGATATGATGTGACGTGACGCGACGCGATGTGACGTGATGTGATGTGACGTGACGCGATGTGATGTGATGTGATGTGATGTGTTGTGTTGTGATGTGATGTGATGCGATGTGATGTGATGCGATGTGATGCGATGCGATGCGATGCGATGCGATGTGATGTGATGTGATGTGATGTGATGTAGTGTGATGCGATGTGATGTGATGCGATGCCATGTGATGTGATGCGATGTGATGTGTGCACTCACACCCTGTCTGCTCTGCTGCAAGGCCACATACATGCCTTCAAGCTTGCCTCCACACTGCCCTTCTCCCATTCCTCCCCTCACCTATCCCCGTTCTCCCCTCACCTTCATTTCTCCCACTCCTCCCCTCACCTTTCTCCCATTCCTCCCCTCACCCATCTTCCATTCCTCCCATCATTCATCTCTCATTCCCCCCCTCACCTCATCCCTGTCAGAATGTTATTATCTAGCCTGTAGTGGGGTGCTTTATAGCGAGTACAACCTAGTTAGGGTTTGCTATATGTATCCCAACTGTTGCTAGTGAAACCACTCTTTCTGTTTCTAAACTTTGTACTGCTACTTTTGATATGGTTTCAGAGCAGGTCGACCCCCTTGTGTCGATCCTATGGGTGGGCCCACCACCTAACTGCTTCCGCTGCTACTCTGTCTGTTGCACGCCCCGTGGCGTGCGACGCCTTCTTCCAGCCGTGCGCTCGGGGCGCGGGGCGGTTTTCTGCCTGCCGTGCGCCCCGAGGCGCGCGGAGGTTTCCTACCGTGAGGGACCCGCGCGCAGCCCCCCGCGCTTCCCGTCGCGTCGCCCTGCCGGCCGTGCGCGGGCCTGCAGGCCGCGCGTGGCCCGTCGGCCCGTCGCGCGGCCTTGGGGACCCGCGCGCGGCCCCTGCTCTGCTCGTCGCGGCGCCCTGGGGAGCACGCGCGGCCCCCGCCCTTCTTGTCGCGGCGCCCTGGGGAGCCGCGCGCGCCCCCCGCCCGTCCGTCGCGGCGCCCTGGGGAGCAGCGCGCGCCCCCCTGCCCGTCCGTTTTGGCGCCCTGAGGAGAGACGCGCGGCCCCTCCTGTACCGTCCCCCCCCCCGTGCTGCCCATTCCTCCCGTGCCGCCGTGCGTTCCGCGGTGGTGGGGGGTGTGGGGTGGCGAGCATGGGGGTGCGTGGTGTGGGTACTCCCCTTCCCTCTCCTCACCTCCTTGTTCGTCTCCCATTGCTGCAGCTGCTGCTGAGGGGGGTGGAGGTGTGGGAGCCGAGGGGAATGGCGCTAGGGGGGTGACGTGGAAGTGGAGTTAGGGGTTCAGCAGGGGGTGTGTGTCAAGGGTGTGGGTCAGTTGGAGGAGGTTGTGTGGAGATAGCTGTCGTGTCGCCTGCGGCGCCTGTAGTCCGTCGCCCTTGCTTCGGTAGCCAGTGAGCCTGTTGCACCAGTCACCAGTGGGTCCGTTGCTCCTGCCGCTCGTCTTAGCCGCGGAGCCAGTCACTCCAGTAGTCCGTCGCCCTTGCTTCGGTAGCCACTGAGTCAGCCGCTCCTGTGCTCGTGCCTCTGCAGCTTCAGTCGTTGCCTCCCATCTTCTCTCCTTCCACAGTTCCTCCTCCTCCTCACTTGCCCGCTGTGATTACCTCTAGCTTTGCTTATTATTGTGAACTCCTGCTATGCCTACTCATTGTGCTGATTACACCCCACTTTGGCTATGGGGGTGTGTCAGAATGTTATTATCTAGCCTGTAGTGGGGTGCTCTATAGCGGTTACCACCCAGTTAGGGTTTGCTATATGTATCCCAACTGCTGCTAGTGAAACCACTCTTTCTGTTTCTAAACTTTGTACTGCTACTTTTGATAATCCCCTCACCTTCTCCCGTTCCTCCCCTCACCCATCTCCCATTCTTTCTCTCGCCCTTCTCCCGTTCCTTCCCTCACTCATCTCCCATTCCTCCCCTCACCATCTACCATTCCTCTCCTCACCATCTCCCATTCCTCCCCTCACCTATCCCCCATTCCTCCCCTCACCCATCCCCCATTCCTCCCCTCGCCTATCCCCCATTCCTCTCCTCACCTTTCTCATAATCCTCCTCCACTGCCCAAAACGGCTGCCCCAAAAGGTTCTCGGGCGCACGGGGAGCGCCCTTGCGCGCTGCGCAGGATGACCTGGGGGCAAGGAAGGGGGGAGGAGGGGAGGAGAGCAGGTTGACGCGCCTCGGTTCCGGGTGGAGTGAAGCGCGAGGTCCGGAGAAAAGCTGGATTGGTCAGCGACGTATGAGCATCAGAACCTAAAGTGAATATGGCGCTGCCTTGGGGATTTTGAATCAACGCAGAAGTTATCTCACCTAAACCAGCGGTTGTTGGGAGTCAGTCGTACCGTAATCTCCCAGATAGTAGACCCTAGGGTCTTATGTAAAATTCATAAAAAATAGGGGGGGGTCTTGTCAACGGCACAAGTTTGTTTAGTGCCCGGGTCTTATTAAATTGATATACAATTTAAAGGTGTAATCGAATGCCTCATTGATGCAGATGCTTGACTCTTTTCACTATTGTTTGGGCCGCACATGTGCGGCTTCTTCGATGTAGCCACATCACACAGGGGAATCAGTTTGTGGCCTTCTCATTGGCCAAAATCGCACGTTACCACATTCCATCATTAAGATTCGTTTTGTGGCTCGTCAGCGTGCCATCCCACTTCGACACCCTGACACATGCACGGCTCGAGCGCACGGGTTGCACGGTGGCCCCAGCAGGAACCCCTATTGTTCAACGGGAGGCACGTCAATCCTTTCACCCATCACAATCCTTCTCTTCCGCCTGTTTCTTCATCCACGCACGAAAATGATTTCTGCTCGGCAGAGTGGTGCGCTTAGGGGCCGTAGCTCTATGATGGTCGTCTTAACATGGCTGGAGGAAGTACTTAGAGCAGTAGCTAGAGGTGTAAGCTATCGTTCACAATGTTGACGTCTCCAGATTCAGGGATGTCGCACGCAAGGCGCCCTTGTCCCACTAACGCAAATCGAGCATCGCAAGCACGAGTTTCACCCCGTCCCGTTTTGCCAACAACTTCACCTTCCTCGAGTGATCCTAGCGACAGTTCCCATGGCATTTGCCGACCGCCGCTTCCTAGAGTCGTGATCCCTAATTTTCCGGAGTCTAGTCGCCCGCAAGGCATGAAACGAAGAATTCTAGATGCTGCACCTCCTTCCCCTCGTCATATGATGACGAAACGCTCTCGTAACGCGTTCACCGCCAAGGAGAAACTGCACTGGCTGGCCATGTTGGAGTCACAGCCTGACCCCAGCATCCGTGGCTTGGCAAAGCTCGCCAAGGTGCAGCCCAAGCAAATCCGCGAGTGGAGGCGACTCAAGGAGCGTCTCGAGGTCGCCGCTAGTTGTCGCTGACGTCTTAACGGTGGAGGACGTAGGGCGAAGTGGCCCCTGATGGAGAAAGCAGTTTACCGCCAATTCTTGGCGCACCGTGCCAAAGGATTGGCGGTGTCGGTGAGCCTTCTCCGCAAATGGGCATCTCAGTACATGAAGCACCATCAGCCTACCGTCAATTTTCGCGCATCGGCACGTTGGACCTTTCGCTACCGCGTGCGGTGGTCGTTTGCGCAACGCGTGAAGACAAAGATGGGGCAAAAACTAGCCGCCGATGAGCAAGCTGTCTGTCACCCCCCCTTGCAGTAAAGGTCCAGGTAAAATGCTATCTAACGCATGTGTCGTTGTGTGTTTAACAGATTGCAAGGGAAAGGTGGAGTCCTTCTCGGAATTCGTCCGCCAAATGCGCATGGTTCATCGCTTTCCCCTCAACCTCATCGTGAATCTGACCAGACCCCGCTCTGGTTGGAGATGCGGGCGGAACGCACCCTCGAAATGAAAGGCGCCCGCACAGTGCTTGTTAGGACGGCGGGGTACGAGAAGGAGCGTGTCACTGTCATGTTGGCAGTGACGGCTGACGGCCTGAAGCTTCCCCCGTATGTCATCTTCAAGCGGAAGACGGTGCCACAAATCGTGGTGCTACCAGGTGAGCTCGATGTGTTTCCGTCGTTGATTCCTTATGTTCCTCGTTTCTCCGTTACTGATTTCCAATTGTGGCGTGTGCAGGTATCGTCATCCGCGCCCAAGAGAAGGGCTGGATGGACGAGCGCCTTGTCTAGGATTGGACAACACAGGTGCTCGTCCCCTTCTTGAAGCCGTTGCGGGACGAGGGCGGACGGTGCAAGCAAGCGCTCCTTGTCTTCGACTCGTACAAGGGGCACCTGACGGAATCCGTGGGGCAAA